ACACGGTTATACCGGGCACTAGTGCTGGGGTTTTAATATTAATTGCAGTCCGCTCTCGCCGCCAAGAGGCGATGCCACGTCGAAAAATAAACGTGTCGGCCCCCACTCGATTCGAACTATTGTTCGGAACAAAACGATCCGAATGAATTGCTCACCGCACGACTTAATTTCATTACGATATCCTACAGAAAGCAAAGAAGTAAAGAGTCCATAAATTTTAATCTAATCGGAAAATTTTGACCAACTTGATTCCCCAGGTTAGAATCCTGCGTAGAACAACGTGATATCTGCAAAATTGTAATTGTTCAGGACGGCCAATTCAAATTATATTTTTTTTGTTTTGATTATAGTTTTCTTATACATACCAGTTACTATTACAATTTTTAAGGTTTTTAATATGATTAGGTATATTAACAAACAGTATATTTTTGAATAAATAATTAGATAAATTTAGGAAATAAGAGGTTTCATGTGTGGAAAATGCAGAAATTAATGGGTCACAAGTTCACATTTATACACGTTTATATAACGTTGTTCTACTAAAAACTCAGTAAATATGTATGACATAAACGCATGTAGCACTTTTTCCAACAAAAAAACCATAAAAAGTGGCTGTGCAATAATTATCAATTGACTCTAATAGAGTATTTTACACTCGTCTATTACATTAGTAAGCTTAGGCTAGTCAGTACAAAAAAACAGGGTTACCACAGAACGTTATTCTAGGCACGGTGTAACTTATAAAAATTATCCAGTGTCCATTCATCTTGTGTATTCAATGAACAAATATTTAAATCGTTATTTAATCATTAATTTCGCATTAAATAAAATAAGCTACACGACAGTGTTGGCTGTTGCACGAATGTACGACCCGTCCTCCGTAAAATTTGTACCTCCACCTTTGTACCTCCTTTCCACCTTTTCTCTTTTTTTTTACGCGAAAGTATTTATCATACTTCCACTTTACGCTGGTCTTCTGTGAGGTCGTTGTACTTACCCGGACGGGCCTGCCCATTCGTCCAACAGCCGAGGATGCTGCATGGCCCTACCACCGTAAAAAGTAGATATATTTATACTTTTATATTTCATCCGGTTAGTTTGGTATGTACTTACTTTGGTATGTATTACTCTCTAAAAGTACCAAATGACATACGGAAAATAATAAATATTCTATTCTATCTAGAAGGTTAAGCCTGCTTCTAGTTATCAATTAACAGATTAAACTGTATTCAGGTGGCAAAGTTGACCCCCGTTGACCGTTGACCGCAACGACAAATGAAGTAAACCCGTCGAAATCAAGCGGCACTCGGGATTTGGTTAAACAAGTCGGCCACCTCCGCAACGACGTCAATTTGACTAATTGCTGACCTCCCGACAACTTCGGCTTCTAAGAAAGTCACTGGCTCAAGAACGGGGCACACTACAGGGATACACGCAAAAGTTTAAAGCATGACATACAAATGGTGCCCTTTTACATAATTTTCAAATCCATTTACCACACTAGAAATATTTCCAATGTTTACGTAATAATTGTGTAAAATAAACTGCAATAATTTCTTCTCCTATTTCTCCAGTTTATTAAAGAACATTCCGTAATTACATGCCATGTACCGATTCTACAATATAATTACAATCAGTGATAGCAGCAGATTTAAAAAGCATGATAATAGATATTATGTCACACACCATAAACACTTAAAGATCAAGCGGTCTTTGCTAGAGATAATGAGGTTAACGATTACTTAAAATTAAACATATAATAATTAAAGTTCTAAAAGCGGGCAGTGTGGTCGGGGCGTTGCGGGACCGAGTCAGGAGAAGTTGCGAGCGCAATTAGCGAGCGGCTGAGTGGCCGGCCGTCCGAGTATTTGCATACATCGTGCGCGCCTCATGTCTTATTCACGTCTGCTATGCAGGGCTGGTCTTTGCGGGAACTGGATGCGGGCACTGTTTGTTTATTGTTTGATAGTGTGACGACTGCAAAAGAAACTACAGTTTATATATATCCAATAACAAATGTAACAATGGTCAAATATATCATTTATAGCTCTGTATGCGTTCCGAAATTATGCTCTTATATTATGTCAAATCAAAAATGTGGAAATCCCTAAAGTTGGAAACCTAACCTGTTGAGTTTAACCTGTGGGATTTAACTGTGAAAAATCGTGACGCAGTTGTGTTTTTTTTAAAGTAATCAAAAGTGTTAATTTATATTTCACAAATCACATATTAGAGGAAAATTAAATCATTAACTTTAGAGGATTTTCCATTATTTACCGATGACTGGATGGTTAGGATACAGCAATAAGACGAGAAAACATGATTAATAAAATCACTAATATTTTCGAATTAAGATTAATTAACGTTAATAAAATCTTTCTTGAATGTTTTGACTAATGTTTGTCTCAAAAAAATGCCTGCTTCCTGCGGAAATACAAACAGAAGATAATCGTGTTCAATCAATTGACTTACACTGATGATTTCTAAATAGAAATCCAGTGACTGGCGATACAGGCATAATACATCGATACATCTAACAGATAGCGTGCGAACAAAATCATAACTTTCCGACTAATATTTACACATGACGTACGGTGGGATGGCTTTAATCCGCTGCAATCAAACTTGCCTCATACATATGTACGAGAAAGTATATGCGGACAGCAACCACAACTAACGCCCCACAGGCATCCCATTAATTTATTAATCAAATGCAAGACTCGACATAATCATTCTCATATTTGAACTTCTGCAAACAGTAAGTGCAAATGTGATTAATATTGACATTGAATAATGAATATCATCACACACTCTCTCATCTTATCATATAAACGGAATGAAAATCAATTGTACAAAAAAGTTGATACCGACAAAACAAAACATCTCGAATTTGCCACTTCTGCAATTCTGAAGTAAAAAAAATTTTTTCTTTTCTAGTCGTTCCTACGCATGCATTTCGATCGTTCAATAAAGTCCGAAAAGGTTCCTCACATCTATTTGCAATCTGTCCTGTTTCCGTCACCATCACCGCCTCACGACCTTCATGAAACAATTTGTTGCATCACTACTGTTATAAGTTCACACACTAATGTCATTAAATCGTTATTATGTCGATTTGGGCTGAATGGGGTGTCAATTACTGAGCTTAATAGTAACAGTATCCTTACAGATTATTACAGAATCAAAAATCAAAAATGAAAATCATTTATTCATCGACATAAGAAACTTGCATTTCATCTATCGATAGTCATATTTTTTTTTAAAATCTACCACCGTTTCGTAATGAGGTTCCTCTAGCGGAGAAGAAACAGGTGAAAGAAACTCCGTAGGTATCCTCTTTTTTGTCATTCAAACTTTTTCTTTTTAAAAAAGTGAAAATATTATACAACTGATTTTTTTTCCTTTTAGAAATAGCTTGGGAGCGATCAACTCATTCCCAGGGGTTATTGTCATTAATGTATTCATTTGTTTTATAATAACCCTTTTTATAAAGATTTTCTTTAATACTTAAACCTGTTAATAGACAGGTTTTGCGCATTTGCTGGGATTTTGTTGTAAAAGCATCACCTGAACGAGTTACTTACTCTATGGAGTCTAGTAACTGGCGTTACAAGCTTGTGTTTGTTCCTAGTGTTCACATTATGTACATCAGTATTCTTATCAAAATTATTAATATTTCTACGCACATACATAACATCTTCATATATATATTGAGAGGCTAAGGTTAATATATTTATTTCTTCAAACTTCTCTCTCAAAGATGCATTCACATCTAGATTATAAATAGCTCTTATGGCCCTTTTTTGCAAAATAAAAATTGTTTCTATGTCGGCCGCGTGCCCCCAGATTTAACAATTAAACAATTAGCTCAGCTCAAATTTTTTAATACCTTTGACTTTTCGAGCACTATACAGAATCCGTGATCAAGGTACGGCCGTAATGTCATAGTTAAGCGATGCTTCTGTTAACTCTCTTGATTATAATTTCATTATTTCATTCTATTTAATCTGAATTACATCATGTTGTAATACAGACAATAACAGACTAAATAGTTACTACTCCATCTAGAAGAGAATTTAAAATATCCCGTACTGGCTTCCTTTATTCAGCATTTAAAACTACCAGTTATCGTTATAGAAAATAAATTTAATAAATGATTACTTTCTTAGACTCATTTTGCCAACCGGAGATTTTAAAATAATTTGGCGACTTTCTTTTCTCAACGGTTTGACGACACTATTTTGCGTTTGACATTAACAATACGAACGTTAACAATTATTTTATTAATTTTATGTATGTGTAACACGTCTTGCATTTTCAGCTTGCTAAACTCCTTCATATAAACATTAACTTTGACAAATCTCACCCTCCATGCACCCAATATTTTTAAAAACATTCACGTATTCAACGTTTCACGTATTTATGTACAAACTTGTGACAAAAATGACATTTCATTCCACTCTGGCACGGTACAACTACACAGCTTGTAAAGTAACGGAATGGTATGAGGTAGCAACGACGAGTAATCAACAGCTACAAAGAGGCAAAGAGAGCAATAGGTGCGGCCGCCGGAGGCTGGGGCTCGGGGCAGAATCCCGGCTTTAATCGCCTCGCCCGCAACTTTTTAATTCAGCCCCGTGTTCGCGACGGGACGCTTATTTCGTGAAACCGTAACTCTTCTTGTACCCGTTTATTTTGCATTACTTTACCGTATAATAGCGACGCCCAAGGAAGCGATGGCTGGACGTCGTGAAGGAGGACATGAGAGCCAATGGGCTGACCCCTGAAGATGCTGAAGATCGGGCAAAGTGGAGGAGTGTTTGAATATCAAGCTCCGGTTAAATGGGAATTCTTGAATAATAAAAATCTTCAATAAAATGAACTGTGTATTTATCGTTGGATCGTTATATATATTGAGAAGGCCGGTGTACGTGCGTTTGCGACCGTGGTGGTGAGCGAGTGTCGCGTTGCTGGGGTCGCGATGCCGAGGTGCGCTTGCGATGACCGCTGTTGCTGTGGGATCGGTCCAGCAGCCAATGGCAACGCCGAACCGCGATGACGAGGACGTGACGTCAGGAACAAGGAGTGTGAGTAGGACACAGACCCTGGCCATAGCTAGGATTAATGCCAGTTAGAAGAAGACTTCACGACGACGATTAAGAGCTGTGAGCTCATTTTGTCAGGCCGCTCGCTTTTAATTCAATATATTCGAGCAACCTGAGTTCAATTCCCGGTGCCGGCAGTAATGAAATTGGTAATTTTAAGTGTTGAATTATCGCGTGCTCTGCGGAGAAGGAATACATCATGAATAAAAAAAAACGTTTCGAAGATATGTGAAGTCCGCCAGTCCATTGTGGAGTTGGGTGATGGACTATGCCCTAATACCATCTGCACAGAGGAGGCATTTGCCCAGCAGTGGGACACATGTCAGCTGTTACTTGACCTTATTTTTTTTTTTTTTTGAAATAACATAAATAACCCTGTGCATTTTTTTGTACTAAACTTGACCTTATAAAAAACACTAATATTAGGAATTTATTTTGAGTTTACATTCTGATGGTGATAAATAATATGGCATTGTAATGAGGCATCGTTTTTACTTGTAGAAACTTTATAAGGTTAGTTATGACTTATGACCTGCTATTTTACCATTTAATAACACCCTAAATAAATTAAAACGATGTTGCAAAAATGAAATATAATTCATAAATTCAATTCATAAATACTGAGGTCACATGCAAAAATATACCTACATTAAACTACGGCACTAAAGCAAAAATATTTGATACCAAACAACAAATCCTGGAAAGAAATCTTTCGCTGTTAATTTGCTGTCGGGTTAACAACGCTCCCTAAGATTAGCCGAGTAGATAAAGGGCCTTACATTTTTATAAGTACGTAGTTCGGGAGAGGAAATCGAGATGCAGGGGAGAAAATTACAGACAAACAAACAAATAGTCCCGGTTGTAAAGCGATAATAAATACACGGAGCAAAAGTTTCGCGAGTGGGGTCCCCCGTCGTGGGACGCGGCTTCGAGAAATACGCTAATGTTTTCAATAACTCACTGGAGTTTTAAAAGATTTTTACTGTTATAACACCTTGTTGACACCAGTTTATTTCTTAGATATACCTACTTCCCACTTTTACTTCTGGCTTCACAAATTAAAAAGAAAATAAAAACTGCAACAATCTTTTACACTTAGCACTAAATAGTTAAATCACTAGTTCGCTTTATGTTTGCACCTACAAGACGCGGTCGTGACAAGTTTTCTTTTATGTAAGTATGTGGCATGCTAGTTTGTAGTTCACAAAGTACTAAGTAATTGCCGCCATTTACATTTGCAACTCCCATTGGGTTACAGATGCATTGCTACCTTTTAATAAAGTCATGTTAGCCACTTTTGAAGACTTGCAAGCGTAATTTAAGCCCGTACTGTGCAGAAATTAGAAGCTTGTTACAAATCTATTGGTTATTGATCGTAATTGTCATTGTGAACGTACGTGTCGCATAAGAATGCGAAGAGAATATTCCACAGATGTCTTACCTACTCAGGTGCACCGGTCTGTAAGGCACATCTCGCTGCGAGTGTACATGTCGCATAAATCAAATCTGCCGCAGCAAACAGATTGATCAGCGCAATATCGCGACGGGCGAGCGCAAATGTTTGCGAGGCGGTAACGAAATCATAAACGTACCTGCCGACGACGCGCCGCCCGACCTTATTACTCCGCTGACAGTCGCGAACAGAGTGCTGTGCTGATATTTTTTTTTTATTATTTCGAGCGTAACGTTTCTTATGTTCTTCTCTTGACTCCAAATGAAATTTGAATTAGAAAATGTGGATAATTTACATCGTAATTTTAAGTACCTTTTTTAATGCAAAATTTAATTTAAAGTTAGGAATCAAATCAAAAAGTTTTTGTTGGTATTATAGGGATGATATTCATTTCATGAACATTAGACATAATAGCTTTAATATTAATTAGATATAAGTCAACTTTGATACACATCACAATATATCATCAGTTTTCATCTAGCAATAACAAGTAATGCAAAGAGTACCTAATATTATGAAAATAGAATTTACTATAAACTATCAAATTAACACTAACAGCAACTTCTATAATTAATTATTACGTTAATGTCGTTATATCATATGCAATAACACTTACGACACTCCCAATTTCAACTGCATCGATTCCCTACAAACGATTTAAGGACAACCATACGTCCGTAAACAATTTAGCGCGCGACTGTCGCCCGCAAAGCAAGCAGTGTCGGCGCGGTGTCTTACAAGGCGTATCGAGGCGCGGCGCGATCCCGACACTTGTATTTCAATCAGCCGTTCCCACGTGCAAACAAAATATCGCTCGCATTGTTGATTGCGCACAACGAACCTGCCCTAATCAAATTTATGTTTGCTCGTCTTGAGGCGGGGGAGCCCCCCCTCCCGCCACCCTGCACGTGGATCGGTGGAATTACTCCATTTGCACTTCAATCCAGGTTCCCTGCCTGGCGGCCATTTTTCCCCCGGCATCGAGTGGCTCGTTACAGCGAGCGGTGCCACTGCGAGCGCGGCGAATAATTTGATTGGTATTGCGCCACTCTCTCTTGTCAGCGACAAGCGGCCTCCGAAACGGCCGCGACGAATGCTCATTCGCCCCCGCTATTATGCTCTAGATTAGTCCGTTTCTATTACGCGCGGTTTTGCTGGAACCCACCACAGCTGTACAAGTTTCGGAAAACGACACAAACTTGGAAATGGAGTAAATACCTCGTGCAAATAATTCTTCGCAGAGAAAAATTGAAGATGGTGCAATGGTGATGCAGGTTTAATGGTCCACGTGGACAAAGTTGTGGGCTCCATTCATTCCTTAGCTACGTCTGAAAGTACGTTGATGGTTTCATGTTTATGAATGCCCGGAAAGCAGGACTCATTTCCTAGTGCACCAGTCTATTTAAAATTAATAAAAGTTAAACCCGTGTACAGTTATCAATTGTACTGAGAACTTTTTTTCTTGGCAAAATAATAATAGAATTCAATTACGATTAGAAAGGGAATTGGAAATAGTAGAATTGCTAAATAAATCCTTATACAACCAACCTTGATTAAAGGTCGGACAGGATTATTCTCAATTTAGACGTAAAAACTGAACGGATCAGAGCTCAAAATATCTGCAATATCTTTGTGATAGATGTTTCGTATGGTAGCAGTGTGTTAAAAGCTAAAAACTCAGCCGAGACATTTGTCCTCATGGGTCTCGTTATAGGCGACGAAATGTCGAAATCTTCTCCGAATATTGACCGATATTATCAATTAATTTTTATCAAATCATGACTGTACCTAAAACAGTATTGTGATATTGTGAATATTTAGTGATGATGATTGTACACGTATAACGTTTAAAACTAAAAATTTAAAAGTCAACATGACGAATCGAACTTACACAAGAAATTGGTATTGTTGATTTCAAAATGCTGTAATTACATTTGGCGTTTCAAAACGCACTCTGCAAGATTTTTCAGATTAAGAAATCAATAAAATAGTAGTGGTTTAACATTGAAGTGTAGCTAAGCACGTGTGAGTGTTTGTGTTTGCGTGTGTGTGTCATCAATAAGTAAACCCGTTCGTTGTCTCCAACACTATTCCTATTTGTTAATTCGATGCAAACGTAACTAGTATCGCGCCTTCGCCCCCGGCGTCTCCCATAGCGCGCCGCACCTGCTCCCATTAAAATTTCAATTACACCGGCACTCGGCAAACACGTTCTCTTTGTTTGTTTGTTTCGCTGAGCGTCTTCGTTCGAGCACCCAGTCGGCGCACAGCCGCGTGTTATTTTTGGTTAAGTTTCATTTATGCCCGTATCCATGCCGAATACGAGTGGTGTGAATCTGAAACACTGTCGCTTTAAATACATCGTAGTTGTGCTTGCAGGTTCTTGACAAGTGTTTTGTTATTCGTTCATATATATTTGCTTATATCCGTATTAATCGTTAATATGATTTCCCAATAAATTAAATGAATTGTGTCTGCATAAATAAAAAAAATATTTTAAGAATGAAAAGCCGTGATAGCTCAGTGTCCAGGCGTTTGCTTATTGTGTATACTCGAGCAACCTGAGTACGATCCCCGGTGCCGACACCAATGAAATTGTTAATTTTAAATGCTGACTCATCGCGTGCTCACAGTGAAGTAAATCATCGTGAGGAAACCCAAACCCGTGGGTTCTGGCTAGCCCACCGGTTCTGCTTCTGATGAAGCTTTAACAGTCTCGGGACTGAAAACAAAAACATCAGTTAATACAAGATACAAGATACAAGATTTTCGAAACAATCACAAGTCTGCCGCACAATCCACAGTGGGGTCGCGAGGTTGACTATGCTCTAATTACCGCAGGGTTTGTGAATTTCTAATGATTTTCTTTTCATATCTACCTATACATGTATAGGTGTGCAAAAATAATGTATGCATTTTGTGGACACTGAGTTACGATGACTCGAAAGGTTAGTGCATAATCCTTTCTCTTCACGTATCACTTGCTATTGTCTCGTGGTGATCCTTTATCACCCTCCTTCACCAACTTCTACATAATATGAATATACGGTACTGTCGGATTATAGCGTCGAAAATTTACGTCAAATACGAAATTATCGCCCTAAAGTAGCAACATTATTACTTACTAGCTGTTGCCCGTGACTACGTCTGCGTAGAATAGACTGAAAGACAGATATACATAAAAATATGTATATAAATTATAGCCTATGTCTTATTCTGATATATAAGCTATATTATTGTGAAGTTTCATTAAAATCCATTCAGTAGTATTTGCTTCAAAGAATAACAAACATCCATCCAAACTTAAATAAGATAAATTAAGTTCAACATTTATTTATTTCAAAGTGATAGATAATGTTCGTTAGTTGTAATCTTGTATATGTTAAAGAGCCAAACGACGTCACTAAGACCCTAGAGGTCGACGAGATAATCCCAAAGTACCGAATGTACTAAACTATCGATGATAACTTATATGTAGTTTAAAATATAAAGAAAAGAGGCAGAACGTACCATATTTAAGGATCAGTAATTAATCACCGCTATAAATTTTTATCTGTACGATACTCAGATTCGGCGAACATAAAATCATTTATCTAATTACTTTATTAATTGCTCAGAGGCACCTTAAAAGTCATATAGTAAGACATTAACCTATAACGCGTCAGTAAACACCTGACGACACGGCACGATTGTGTTACGACATATCGTTAAACAAATAACACGATATCACTTTACCGGGTCGCCGCCGCAACGGCGCCGTGGCCTGCTCGCGACGTGTAATTAAGCCCCAAGATAATGGGCTACTTTATTTATGCTTCCGTAATAGTTTACTTATCACCCGTGAACACACGGGCAACTTTATACTAGTATAATGAATACTAACACAATATTAAAAGCCTTTTTTGACTTTTCGAAATAACACATTATAGGAAAATCTCGGTATGACAACTGTGCACGTGTTTGTGACCAATAGGTGGGCTTAGATATTTAAAACGAAAACGTAGATTTTATTTACGTTATTATTATATTATCTTTTTCTTTTGTTACATGTGCTTTACAATCTATCTTCTTCTCTGGGACGGACTCAGCGGAGATTGCTACTATTGACGCGCTCGGTATACGACCTATATCATATCCTTTTTTTTGAGCAGACGGTTCACCTGATTTTAAGTGAATACCGCCGCCCATGGACATCTGCCACACCCGAGGGTTTGCAGATGCGTTGACAATCTTTTGAAAATTGGGCTCCGGCTACCTCACTAACCAGAGGAAACGCGAAAGTATTTGCTATACTTCCACTTTACGCCGGTCTTCTGTAAGGTCGTGGTACTCACCCGGACGGGCCTGCCCATTCGTGCAACAGCCGAGGCTGCTGCGTGGCCCTACCACCGTAAATAACCTGTTCTAATATAAACCTAACAGTAGAATAATTTGTTTGTAACTCGAGAAAACTTTAATCAGTAAAACGGCATCACGACGAAGCTTATAATAAAATAACACGGAATATATTCCGCCTACCCTTCACTGAACCAATTCCCGTAAAGGGCGCCGTCAAAAAAGAGCGTCCGCCACAAATTGGCTGAAGATAGAGGTCCGCTTGGAAATTATGCTAAATAGAGCCGGGTCCACGTACGCTACAAAAAGAGGCCTCATTGAATCGCCGCGAGACGTATGAAAAAAAAAACTGCGCGCAACACAAAACACACGGCGGACGGCGTCGGTCCAAATCGCTTTTGATTCGTTTGGTCTGGCGTTTTTAAAGAAAACATTTCACCTTGGAAATTTACCATGGAGTGGGCTCGAAACGCCACGGTTAATGAGGTTTTCAAACCGGAATTGCAATCTGTTCCTTAACTCAAAACCTTTTCGAATTACTCAGATATTATTAATTTCTTTTTGATGCTTTGAGAAATGAAATTGACATGAAATGTAATGTAAAGTGTAACTTTCTACTTTACACTTTCTTTCGTTGTATTTCATCGGCTTAGTTGAATTAATGAACGACTTTGGAAAAACCTGTTGCGTTTCTTAAGAACCACACTTTTTCCGGAGTAGATAGTATAAATAACAATTATTATTTCAGGCCTTTCTAGACGAAACGAGAACCGATCGTTATGGTAACCAACATACGAATCGTACGAAAAGGAACTCAAAACTCTTTTTGCCAGCAGCATCAGATATTGTGTAGCTCCCGATATTCCCTTTTTTAAATCAAGCAGTACTAAAATAAGCAGTTCTCTCATAACGTCTTACGGTCATATAAAGACTTATGCTATTCGGGAAGTGAATAATCGATTAACATGCCTCAGCATATCACATTGAAACTGAACGTTTCCTAGATGTTTTTGGAAGGATTTATCGTTACACACAAAAAGCAATAGGCTATTGGGCCCAGAAACAAACACCATATACCCTGTGATGTTTTAAAACATGTTTCAATTCGCCAAAACGAATAGAGCCGAAACAGGCATACACTCAGTAATCCGGGGTCAGCGGAAAGAGGTCAACCCTTCAGCGGCGAAGTAAGATGACGCCGCCTCTTCCGTGTCGGCCACCGCGGAGGCGCGGGGTTAAGTGCGCAAAAAATTTATGCGTCGAGGTACAACGGAGGAGAGGCACCGCTGGCGGTGGCAGACATACCCTCGCATCTCTATGTAGAGCACATGCAGAGTAAGACGCGCTCCCTCCGAAATAAGTGGGTTTATACAACCATCCAAATGAGCACACGCAATCACTTATTTAACACTATGTAAAGAAAGTGTAAAGGCATATTTAAGAATAATTTTGGAATTAGTGAAGTCAGATTCAAAGCATATTTATTACCTACTCTGTTATAAGTCAATCCTAAATTGAAATTAACCTTTTCAGCCTTGACTATATCGTTAAAGAAATATAAGACTAATAATTATAAAAATTGTTATTACATGTCATATTTCTTTCATCTTATGTATATTCTGACTAAATACATTCTATAAAATAGTACTGTACGTTCTCTCGTAAGTGTTAAATGTAACTTTAAACAGTTC